GGACTTCCACTCCCAGAATCCCCCAGCCAGCATGCTCTAAGAGGGGAGGACTTCCACTCCCAGAATCCCCCAGCCAGCATGCTTTAAGATGGATGGACTTCCACTCCCAGAATCCCCCAGCCAGCCATGCTTTAAGACATGACCACAATTTGTTTTCCAGCAGAAAATGGCAAATACCACCAACAGGATATACTGGGTTGCTTTAATGACCACCACGTGTTCGCTTAACAGCTACCCGATTTGCTTAATGACCATTTTGGCGACTCATTTTACCAACATCATAAAAATGGTGATAGAATCGAGTCTGATTACGTGAGGCCTCAATTTAGACCACAATGACTTACGAGCCAAATTCCAGGCTCCCATTATGACTATAAGTCATGATCACCTGATCACCTGTTTTTTTTTGGGGGGGGGTAACAAAGGAGCAACATGCTTTAACGGATGGAAATATGAATCTGGCCAATTTTTGCTCGGCTTCAGGGCAAAAATTAAAACGTGCGGAATCGTAGTGCCATGCCAAACTGCTATTGGGCCATCTGGTAAATTCCAGAGGATGGCAACTGAGGATCGTTGGGTTTTTTACCTTTTGCGTCTCCAATTCTCAAACACCTGAGGGTAGAAGGAAACCGACCAGGCTAGGAAGTAGATCCAACCGATCACTTGGTCCACAATCCTAATGGCGTTGCTGTGGATCACAAGGAACCGGATTCTGGGCCTGCGGAAGAACGAGAGAGAGAGAGAGATTATGTTTGTGGGAACGTTCTAGGCTAATGACTTGCTTGGCACCGCCCTCTCGGCTCTTCCTCTTCTCCTCCTACTATTCCACCACTGGTTCGCACAGACGCAACACAGCCTCAGTTGGAGGTGGATGACTAAAGTATCTGGAGTACAGAGACCGAAAAATGGCCACTAAGTGAAATTACATCTCGATGAAGGGAATTACCGGCTGAATATGGCTCGGGATGGATGCTTCTTACCCTCAGGGGTGGGATTCAAATTTTTTAACAACCAGTTCTGTGGGCGTGGCTTAGGTGGTGGGCATGGCTTGGCGGTCATGTGACTGGGTGGATGTGGCTTGGCGGTCATGTTAT